CCCCCCCCCCCCCCCCCCCCCCCCTCCCTTTTCTCTCTTCCCCCCTTTCTTTTTTCTTTTGAAGGGAATTGGATTTGTTGGTAGCCAGTAGTGAAACACGAAAAAACAAAGGATGGATCCTACCCCAGCCCTTTCATCATGTATTTGAACCTTTGATAAAATAATATAATTAAAATTTATTGTGATACTTTTGTTTGGACGAAAAGATCTGTTTTCTCCTTTGATAATTCCACTCTCCTTGCTGTCTCTCCTTTTTGGATGAACCACAAGCTGAAAAGGAAATTATATCACCTTTCTTTCTTTTCTATTGTGAATCATGTTTAAAGAGCAACCCTTTTGAGTACCAGAAGAATTATTAAGAACCGGTAACTTCTGGCTTAAGCAATGAAAAATAGTACTTAGTAATCATATCAGCAAATGAAACAAGCGTGTTTGAAAAACAACATATTTCTTAATGCAGACATACTCACCGCTAATGCATTTGTGTAGTCAAAGCAGCTGTAGGAAGGAACAAAAAAATGGCTAATAAGAACAAGCTCAAGGAATTTTTCTAACACATTCAACAGATACAAATAACCATTTCAGAAGTTCATAAGAGGTCCATAAGGTGAAAGGTTGTGCTACCAACAGCAGCATAGAGGGTAAATAAAATAATCACACTACACAACTTGATCATAAAGGCATACACCATATGAAAACTTGCTTGAGTGAAATGGTTGTATCATCATGTCAGTAACTTACAGAAAACAATGTGATGCATAGAGTACATAGGCTACATGAAATAAATTTACACAATTGTGTATGAAGCCTCGTAGCATGTTAAGATTTTTAACAAAATACTTATTTTAACTCTCACCAAGAACTAATGTAACAGAATTATTTACAAGACAAGACTGAAACAAATTCTGTTTTAGTCTTCTTCGCTATTTTTAAAAAAGGATTTACCTACAACAATCATATTATAATTCCATTTATATATATCATCAGCACAAACTTCATTGATTGTGTAGTTGATCTGCATCTTTCGGTGCATGCTGTTAACCTACACCTGAATGTTTTTCTCTTCACTAAGCTGCATACTGAAAACCTAATAATAGTACTATAATTATGGAGCTTTTGTACACATCATCCTTCAAAGCATTAAACATTGTATACTGAATAACTTAGCTAAAATCTCGAACAAGATACAATGGCATTGTGTGCATGAAAAGAGCACCACTTCCTATTATGTCACTTCCACGGTTTTAAACACTTTATACATGACTTTAACATAAATTGAAGGGCATAAAATGAAAATATATAAAGAGATACCATACATTTTGTGACAATACAAAGATTTATACAGAGCAACAAAGTTATAACCTAGTTACTTATTTAACAAATGGTACAATGCTAGAAGGCTTAGAATAAGAACAAGAGATTACCTATAGCAAGATTGAGCAATAACGTCAACTAAGTCATTTGCTGGTAAACAGAAATAGGGAACCTGCTTTAGTTAAATTCAGAGGAGGATGAAGCAACGGGTTAGCAAGACTTGAATCAAACGGAAATTAAAGGGATCATGTTACCTCTTCGATATGGCCATCCAAATGCTTCAGGTGTACCTATACAAGAATTAATGTATAAACTATTAAATCACATCAGAAATAGTTAATACATAGAGCATGCTCTCTGGCATTAGAAAATTAAAGGAACTTAATTATGGATCATAGATCATAAAAATATTCAAATTCACAATTATTAGCTGCTAGGATATAGTAAATGACCAGATTTGGAATTCATAGCAATGGTACTAGTACAACAAGCCAGAAATCACACCTGATCATATGTTGGCAACATAAATTGTCAAATATATGAAGAAGAAATGCTGAAAAGCCAGTACTTTTTCTTCTATAGAAGATTGATCGCCAATTTGTCAATCAAGTAAGATAATTGATGTGCACTAAATCCATAGAGTATATATATATATATAAGTTGTTAATCAATGTGAGATAATTGATGTACACTAAATCCATGGAGTATATATATAACCACATTCGAGGGCACGGTCGTGTACATCTAACTCTCCTTCAATCCTGCAATGGTAGAAGTCTCGTACATAGAGAAATATTTTTTTACACCAAAGAGCACGTTAGTGCAACTGCAGCAGATCCAATGCTCTGACTAAGCCTGGGCAAGAAGCCTGAAAACCAATGGACCAGCCCAAGGGGCCTTACATTGGAGAGAAAAAATACAAAACTAGACGATTATAGCCCATGGGTTATATTTATGATATTACAAAGCATAATTATAGCTCATGCCTGCCACATGATGTGACCATCTATTTGTATCAAAACATAAGCCTAATTACCGCATTAGAGTATTATTGATAGGTAGATTCGTTAAAGAGTTTATATCTATGTTGCATGGACTTGGATTCTAGCGTGTCAATGTATGTAGATGTTTGAAGGTTGGATTCATTTTATTTTGAGATCAAAAGGCACGTAGGCATGCAAAATATTCATAATTCCTCAACATCTTTTGATGTGTAGAAATATGCCAATATTATAATAGCTCTACAATGAATGAAACACCCAAAGGGGAATGTGAGAACGACCCACATAGATGGACAATACAGACTACCCATAGAAAGGGCAGAGTGGGATCATCTTGCCCTTAAGAAAATCCGATAACTTGACCTCCTATTTTTGGGAGAGCCAAGTGACCAATTGGGTTAGATCCAGGTGGTTTCTCAATATTTTTATTTGTTTCCAATGACAAGATGGAAGTATAATTGCTCACTTCTATTTACATTATGAAAACCTGTGTTGGATATTAAATGTGTGGGAATCTCATATTGGATAAAAAAGAAATAAAAGTGGTCTAATATATAATGGATGGGCTCACCACTTATAGATTTAAGTTTTTAGGTGGATATGGATTCTAGACATGTATATTGGGTCTTAGATTAATGGGCTCCCAGTCTCCCAAAAAACGGTATCAGAGTTAATGGCTGACGATCCTGAGTGAACTCACGAAGAAGCAGTGTAGCGTGTCGGTACCAATGATGGTTCTTAAGAAAAGTGATGGACTCTTGGTATTCAAGTCATGGAAACGCAACTCAGAAAAAAGAGTAAGGCACGGGCCTATGCGCAAGGGCACTTGCAGAGTGGTAACACGATGAGTCATAAAGTGTAATACAAACTTAATTCTTGGAATAGTGAACTCTTGTAAAGAATGATTGGATGCAGTGCTTGTGGAGAATAGTGGATCAAACTTAAGTGGGAGCTAAGCATGATGTGGTTCATACATGGAGAAAGGGGAGATTGTTGGGTCTTAAATGTGTGGGAATCTTACATTGGATAGAAAAAGAAGTAAAAGTGTCTTAATATACAATGGATGGCTCACCACTTATAGGCTTAAGCTTTTGTTGGAGATATAGCAACTTAGTTTTTTATCACCTTCCCTACCACCAGCCATCCAGTTCCCCAGCGACAGCCCACTGTCGGTCACAAACCAGAAACATCATCGACAAACCCAACCCAAAAAAAAAAAAAAAAAGAAACCACAAAGCATCGACTGCCGTCATAAAGCAACGATTGCCTCACAGCCCACCAAACTGGTCATAAAGCAGCGACTGCCTGTCAGCCCACCAAACTGGTCATAAAGCACCGACTGCCTCTCTGCCTCTTTGCCTCTCAAGCCAACCAAACCCAGTACCTACATAATCCAATCCAGTCTAGTACCTACATAATCCAGTCCAGTCCAGTACCAAACTCAGTCTAGTCCAGTCCAGTCCCATATCCAGTCCAGTCCCAATCCCAACACAGTACCCACTCAAGTGGACCAACCTACTGCTGGGTCGTGCTCACAGCTTCGAGTTATGCCTTCGTGCGCCTGATTATTCGGGACCGTATAACCTTTTAAGAGGGGTTGATTTCTCTTCTTCGTTGATCTGCTCTTGATGCAGTAGATCATTTATTTATATTTACTGGATTTCTAGGCACCGTGACCTGATTATTTGAAAACTTTTTGGACCTTCTTTATCTGTCGCTACTATTCGACTGAAGGTACATTATTCTCTCTTATTTTATCCATCTATTTATCTTAGAGTTATTTTTTTGTCACGAGTGCCCTAGTATTATTGATGATATGACTACTACTGAGGGAGTTGAGATCCCGACTGTTAAGACATTTGTTAGTACTTCCACCGGGTATAGGGGTTGACAACGCTCGGCCCAATGCCGTCAAGGTACCCCACATCAGCGTAGATATAGAGATTCTCGTCAGTGTGATTATTGTAGCCAACTAAGACATCTCATGACTACTTGTTGGAAGCTCCATCCAGAGCTCAAGCTGCCTCCTCGCAACCGTACTGCTGTCATTGCTAAGGCACCACCACTTACAGTCATTGCTCTTGCTCCTGCTACTACTGCTCCTGCTCCTCCTTGGCAGAGTGATATGAATGCTATCACTTCTCGCTTGGATATACTTATGTCAGTCTTGACTTCTCAAGGTTTGACTACTACTGCTGCCATTACTACAGGTATACCTCGTGTCTTTCATACTTGCGTCAGTCCATCTCTTCTTTGGATGCTGGACTCGGGTGCTAATGGTCATATGACAGGTGAGACCCATCATTTCACCTCTTTTGACGAGTAGTTACATTCTCAAGTTCAGTTAGCAGATGGTACACATGCCCCTATTGTTAATAGGGGTACAATCCACCTCCCAAATGGTTTTACATTACGTTCTGTGTTTCATGCGCCAAAGCTTGCCATGAATCTATTATTTGTACATCAGTTAGTCAGAGATTTTTACTATGCGGTTGTGTTCTTATCTGATTCATGTTATTTGCAGGACCTGAGTACCAGGAGGATTATTATCAAGGGACATGAGAGAGATAGATTACATTATTTGGGCGATCTACCTCCCGTTTCACCAGTTTCTCCACCTCCACCTCCATCATCTATTTTGTCTTTATCTATTCTTAACTTACATGTTAGTATTTTACCTAATACTTGTCGTTATGATTTTTCATCACAAACTGTGCAGTTGTGGCATGACCGTTTTGGACATACAAATTTTAAATATTTATGTATGTTATTTCCTGCTTTGAGCAAAGCTTGTGTTAGTGGTAAACTTGACTATATTATATGTTCCCTATCAAAACATGTTCGGACCAGTTATATTCCTCGCATGCACCAGTCACCCAAACCATTTGACCTAATACACTCGGATATTTGGGAACACTCTCCTGTTACTGCTCTGTCAGGTGTTCGATACTATGTAACATTTATAGATGACCATACCCGTTGTACTTGGGTCTACCTTTTGCATAGGAAGTTTGATGTACTCCCTGTCATTACTCAATTTCTTCAAATAATTTAGACACAGTTCGATGTCATTGTTCGTGCTCTTTGTTCAGATAATGCCAAAGAATATGTGTCTGATGCCTTAGTGTCTCACCTTTCTTCTCAGGGTATCTTTCAGCAGCTCACTTGTTCATATACTCCTGAGCAAAATGGAGTTACTGAAAGGAAAAATAGGAGTCTGATAGGAATGGTACGTTGTATGCTTAGAGGTATGGGGGTACCAAAATCTTATTGATATTTTGCTGCTTTGACTTCTACTTTTTTGTGCAATCGTATACTAAGTCGTATTCTTTAGCATAGGGCTCCCTTACAGGTCTTATTCCCTGAGCGGACACTTTTTTCAGTCGCCCCTCATATTTTTGGCTACACATGTTTTGTTCAGGATCGATCTCCTACTCGTCATAAGCTTGATGATAAAGCGATTCGTTATGTCTTTGTGGGCTATTATCATCAGTCTAAGAGGTATCGGTATTATGATCCTGTCAGGAGATGTATGTATCACAGTCTAAATGTTACCTTCCTTGAGCATATTCCTTATTTTTCTTTCAGCTTGTGTCTGCCCTTCCAGTTGATGATACTCCCTTTAATTTTTCATTATCACCGGAGTCAGAGCCATTGGTCACTATCACTACAGAGTCATTGGTCTCTTCTCCTCCAGAGCCACTTATCCCTGTTAGTACAGAGTCACCAGTCTTTCTTCCTTTGCAGGTTTATGTTCGTCATCCTCACTCTCATCCCCCTGCTGATGTCCCCTCTACCTCAAGCGATGTAGGTAATACTTCTCAGTTCGTTGAACATATTGATGCACCTGTTGTTAGTACTGATGAGATTGCAGGTACTGAGCCAGTTGTTTTACCTGATGAGGCATCAGTGGAGGATGATGATTTAGGGCATTGTTATCTGCGACGTGATCGTTGTCCAGTTGTTCATTATAGTTGGACCGCCAGGATTTTATATCCGATCTCTGCTTATGTTTCTTATGGGGATCTATCTCCTATATTTCGAACTTATCGTATGGCCTCATCAAATATGCCGGTTCCTCGCTCTGTTTCAGAGGCTATGCGGGAGTCCCAGTGGGTTCTTGCCATATAGACAGAGATGGACACTCTTCAGCGTAATCATACGTGGGATCTTGTCTCTTTACCTTCAGGGGTGAAGCCTGTTGGTTGTCACTGGGTTTACACCCTGAAATATCTTGTGGATGATACTATTGATCGTCACAAGGCTAGGCTTGTGGCAAAGGGCTTTGCTCAGGTACCAGGTCGTGATTTTGGTGCTACCTTTACCCCCTGGGCAAAATTGACTACTGTTCAACTGATCATTTCTCTGGCTGTGGAATATTCTTGGTCTCTTCATCAGTTAGATGTGAAGAATGCATTTCTTCACGGTGATCTAGACGAGATTATTTATATGAATGCACCACCGAGATTTCGTGGTGAGGGGGAGTATGCTGGAAAGGTTTGTCGATTGCGTTAAGTCTCTTTATGGACTGAAATAATCACCACGAGCATGGTTTTCTCTATTTAGTGATGTAGTTGTATGTTTAGGGTTCACTAGATGTCATTCTGATCATATCTGCTTCATTCGACAGAATACTTCTGGACAGTGTGTCATCCTTTTGGTATATGTTGATGATATTATTATTACTGGAGATGATGTTTCTGGGACTGCGCAGGTTAAGGTAAATCTTGGGAAGGCCTTCGATGTGAAGGATTTTGAATTTTTGCGATACTTTCTTGGAATTGAGGTTACCTGTAGCAGCAGAGATATTGTTCTTTCTCAGAGAAAGTATGTTCTGGATCTTCTCTCAGATATTGGCATATTGGGGGTGCAAACTGGCATCATCACCCATAATTCTAAACTTGAAGCTTACTGCCGAAGGTGAGGAGTTGAGAGATCCGACTGTCTATCAGAGGTTGGTAGGTAGACTTATCTACCTAGCCAACACTAGGCCAGACATTTCATTCGCTGTCAGCCGAGTTAGTCAGTTCATGCACAAACCATGTCAGCCTCATCTTAATGTAATTTATCATATTCTTCAGTACCTCAAGTCTTGTCCTAGACTTGGATTATTCTATGCATCAGGATCTCAGATTGGTTCTCTAGCCTGTTATTCAGATTCAGATTATAGAGGAGCATGTGACAATCGATCTACTACGAGCTTCTGTGCTTTTCAAGGGACTCATCTTATCTCTTGGAAGAACAAGAAGCAGTTAATTGTCTCTCGCTCGTCAGTAGAGGTAGAGTATCGGACACTGACACTTGGTACATGTGAGATTATCTGGCTACGATCGATTCTTGGCAAGTTGAGATTTTTAGTGACTTCTTCATCTACATTATATTGTGATAATCAATCTGCTATTCAGCTCGCTTCTGATTCTGTATTACACGAGAGGACGAAGCATATAGAGATCGATGTTCACTTTCTTTGGGAGAAGGTTAGCAGTGGTATTGTCACTCTATTTTTTGTGGGAACTAGTGATCAAGTTGCAGATGTTTTCACTAAACCTATCACTCTATCCATTTTTCGGGACTCAATTGTCAAGCTTGACTTAGTTGACATTTTTGCGTCTTACTTGAGGGGGAGTGTTGGAAATATAGTAGCTTAGTTTATTAGAATTTATTAAGTTTTTCCTTTTTTATCTTTTTACCTTTTTATCCTTATTGTAACTTTCATTGGCTATATATACGGGGGCTCTACACTTAGTTTTTATCCCTTTGACTCATACATATCTCTCTTCTGCTTTTAAGTGGGTATGAGTTCTAGACATTGTATATTGGGCTCCCCAGTCTCTCAACAAATGGTACTAGAGCCAAGGTTAACGATCCTGAGTGAACTCTTGAAGAAGCAGTGTAGCATGTCGATGCCAATGAAGGCTATTAAGAAAAGTGCTGGATCTTGGTACTGAAGTCATGGAAACGCCACTCAGAAAAAAAGAGTAGGGCACGGGCCTGAATACAAGGGCTCTTGACAGAGTGGTAATACAATGACCATAAAGAGCGCTAAAAACTTGATTCTTGGAAGAGTGAGCTCTTGTAAAGATTTGTTGAACACAGTGCTTATGGAAAGTGGTAGATCAAACTCAAAGGGGAGCTAAACCCAAATTGGTTCAAAAATGGGGGGAAGATTGTTGATTATTACATGCGTGGGAATCCCACATTGGATAGAAAAAAATAAAATAAAGTGTCCTAATATATAATGGATGAACTCATCACTTATAGACTTAAGCTTTTAGGTGAGCACAAGTTCTAGACATGTATATTGGGCCTTAGATCAATGGACTCCCAGTCTCCCACAAACCTGGATCTCTTCATCCTCAGAAATTACAATTTACTGGTAGACTTATTCAGCCATTACAAAGTTTGCATTTAGTTTTGGCTGCCCAAATCAACATTATTCCTAATCTCACATACTCTGCTTATAATTCAAATCACGAGTAGTATTATTTAACCCTAAATGCAATTGTGATAACACGTGTAATAATAAGTATAAAAACAAGGGGGCATTCCATGGTACATCTAAAAGATTGGGTTCTCAGAAATGAGAATTTAGGTTCGAATTGATGGGCAGCCACCACCCAATCACCTCCCTCAATTATTTGGAGTATTGGCTTTTACTTGGAAAATTTTGTAACAAGGTCATAGCTACTACTACTTTGCTAAGAGGATGCTAGGCAGGGCAGACTGGATATCTAGCCTTGGGAATAATTTACACGAAATTATGGCTCACAAACTTGAACTTGCACTCTCATGCATGACAACCTGAGCTTTTATCAACACACCAAGTGATGACCATTGCTGAATTAGTAGTGTTCCCATTGTTTAGGATTCCTTTAAAGGAGGAAATTTTGAGTTTTGATAAAATTGTAATAAGAATAGCATTGACATGATTATTCTGGTCAGATATTTTATAACCTAGAGAACATCCATAACAATCTAGATATGTCCTTATATGTCCTTCACTAGGAATACAATATCACCAAAGACTAACTACTTTATTAACTAGTAAATTAACTGCTGTTTTCATATGAGAATGACTTCTCACCATTCGTTGATTTGTTATTAGGCAACTATCTACACAATGATCAAAGACTTTTGGTTCTCCTATTGGTATCTTAACATGCATTGATCTATTATATTTCCTTGCATATATAGGATGGCAATTTTAAGTCTGAAGGACCTGTCAATGGGTGCAAAATACTCAATATTCAATAAGCACATTGAAGTAAAACGTAAAGGAATAGCCAGACCTTGTAATCTTGCATAAACTCATAATGAAGAACTGTTTCTGGTTCACTGCTAGCAGCCTTTAGAAACTTATCTAGCCCTTCTCGCCTTCCATTATCCACTATAAAGTAAAAGGTGTTAGTATTGCTACCAGGTTATGTGTACACAATGTACAATAGGAACTCTTGATAAACCATATGTCATGCATTAGCCATCTGCTAACCACAGGACAAGTGAAGATGGAAAGCATCAACCCTTACCCATTTACGCATCTATGAGATGTATCGACTGGGCACTGTATTATATGGTTCTGATTCAAGTGCAAATTTTCTTGATAGCCCAAATCTCAAGGCTGTTTGTCTAGACTTTTAAAATGTAATATCACTATGATGATTTATTATAAGAATTTCAATTTATGTACTTTTTAATAGAGAATGCCCTGGACAGCATTGTGTCTGGCCAAGCCATATCCAACACCGTCCCAATTTCCATGTTGATCAAATACAAAGTAAAAGACAACAGTATTACATTGTGTCGCCTAAAATTATAAAGTAAATATGTAACACATTGAATATGAAGTTTTTAGTTACCACAATTAGTGCCTAACACATAAAGCTTGTCCAAATTCAAATGGTGCTCGACTGATCTTAACGCTGCAGTTTAAGAAATGACTCTGCATTAACAGTGGTACAAGTCATAACAAAGAAAAGAATCAAAAGCTGGACTTGTCATATCATAACTTAAGTGTTACCTTGGACTTGGCATCCCACACCACAGAAAAGAAGACGCTTTACACCTGCTGCCTATTTGTAAGTGGAAAATAACAATTTACCGCAGCAATTTATAAATTAGACTTGGATGAAAATTGGACGAGTTGCGGCACTAAGCTCATAATAAATCACATGCACCAGTTTATAGAAATGCCAAAATATTCAAGTAATTAAGTGCTACAATAACTATCTAGGTTCTTTATTTTATTTTATTTTATTTATCGAAGAGTAAGTATATGCCTTTATTGGACAAAAGTAAGAGTTAGATCTGGTGCATTCTATTTATAAACTGCATGACAATAAAAAACACAAATAAGAATGCAAAACACAAAGAAGAAGACACCTAGGGAAACAGTAGTTGAACTTTAGCCCATTATCCCCGAAGACACTATAGTCTGCCCTTTCTGCACTAACAGAATATTTATAGGAGCCGGATTCAATTCAATCTTATTGACACTTTTGAGTCCATGTAATCCAACCACTCACAATATCTAACGGATATTCAGGCATGACTCATACCTTCTCACCAGTGTAGGGTTAAAGGTCCCTATCAAAGGAACAGTGAAGGGGAATGTGGTTGATGGCTTAACCTCACTCTTCGCACGTGTTCAACACTTTTGCGCAAATGTTTTTTTCAGTCTGTGTGTGTGGGGTTGGGTGGGGGTTGCGGACATCCTCAACATCAAAAAGATAGCACGAGGATCTACTCAAACAAAATCTTATTGAAATGCTCCCATTTTGATGGTCAAAACTTCTTTTGAAACCTTCTAAATCCTTTATTGTGAAGTCCCAAAGCCTAACATCACTGTCATCACTCTTCACCTCATTTGGCCATGAATGGTCACCCCTCAAAACAAACTTCCCAGTTACCATATTCTTCCAGAAGCTTTTCCTAGGTAGACCTTCAGAGCCATATGCACAAGAAAGCTTGATTACTGTGAATGCGAGCCCTTCACATTCTTCCCACCCACAAATGGACTGCCAATACACAAGATGGTACTCTTATTACTTCCAATTCCACTCCAAAAGTTGTCCTTCTGTAATTAATCCATACATATAACCTCCTCTCATTTTCTTTACTACTACAACCCATACTGCCTGTGCTTTGAAACACCAAACCAACGTGCACCCAAGTTAGGAAAACGGAACTCCGCCCACAGTCCACCCCCACCCCCCCTTTTTTCTCTCTCCCACCGAGAGAGAGCACTGCTAACTAAAATGAAGATGGTGGATTGTCAAGATCAACTGACTTTCCCTCACATTTTAAAGTGTGGGTGATTTTCACATTGTATACATAAGTGTTGTGAAAGTAATTTGGGTCCAAACTCCAAAGTAAAGCAGATGAATGCAAGTTTTTCATTAACATTAATTATCATCGCTAATTGCAAATTATTTTTGAGCATCAAAAAAGCATGTCTAGGTACCAAAGCTTTGAAACTTAAACCAAGGAGATATGGAAACTGTGATCCAAGCAACCTCAAGGTTAGCTACTTAAGTCTACAGAGTTGCCTAAGTAACAAATATCATTTTTCTTTTTCATTGGCTAATATTAATGAGATATCAATATGACTGCTAAAATAAAAAGTAAAGGAGCATTCCTATTACTAAACAAAATAGTTGAAATCACCTCCACTAAGGCCAAGGTATTAAGATTAGGAGACAACGTTGGCTTGACTCCTTTAGCCGCTAGAACTTCCTCTGGTGTCCTATTGGAAACAGATTTATTAGGTCACAGAGGCGAAGACAAGGAAACTAATGAGAAATTTAGCAGCAAACCTTGCCAAAACAGGTCTTGGACTGAGTCGATCCTCTGGATCACTGAGATAATGAAAATAACAAGGGCAAGACCACAAAAGTGCACAAATTATTTATGGGTATATAACAGATTTGGAAAGCCAATAACACGTGGTACTTATTATCTAGAACAATACATGTGCCACTACCTCTGGACACATACGACAGCTTCTACCATCCCTGCTTTCAGCATTTCAATTGCAATTGTTGTTACTATTCCCGTCCATTGAGCTCCTACCAATAAAAAAAATCGTGCAGGACAAACAAAGCAAGTTGGTACATCATCATCTGACCTCAAACTTAGTACAGAGTCACCTACTTTGAAGATAACACTAATTAATTCCAGTTTGACCACCACACGTGGAACATTTCCAGGGGTAACTTGCACTGAGCAGAAATGCAAGTTTGAACAAACGTACTAGAGCAAAAAAATTTAGTGAAAACTGACCCACCTCAAAATTGCTCTAAATGGGTAAAAAAGAATATTCACTGCACAAAATGATTAGCAACAGTAAAGAAATCTCCAAAAAATCCCCTAAACCAAACCTAAAAAACCTTGTCCCAATTATTTGAGTCATTTACATAAATTCTGTTCTGCTTTTTTTTCCCTATTCTGCATTTTCATCAAGCTGGCCAATGCAAATTTTATATCAAAGGCAAACCAAGCATCAGCGAGAGCCAAACTCAAACAAGTTATCTTGAAACGCCATCATTTTAAAGAGAAAGTCAGTGTACTGTAGCATTATAATACTAAAGTGAGATACAAATAATTATTGCTCGCATTTCACATCACAAAATTGAAAATTGGACTTTTTGAAAAAACCAAACACGACAGCAAATCATAAAAGTTCCATATTTGAAAATTAAAACAAAGGAGCAGCCATCAGATCCTCACACAATTAAAAAACAAAATCAATGCACTCAAAAAAAAAGCAAGCATTTTATACAATACCAAGATAAACACAATGGAAGAGTACTCTGAAAGCTCTCTTAGAAGTTAAAAAGTCAAAGAACTTACCCTCGACAGGCTTAATTTTACGAGCATATAAAAGCTCCTCGTAGACCCCGAAGTAAGCCTCATCTAATGAATCTCCTTTCCTCCCCCGGCCATGGACCACCGGTTCTAAGCTCTTAAAAGAGTGAATTGAAAACAACTCAGCCAACAGTTTATAAAATAAGAACGCAAATGTAACACATACCAGATGACCAGGTTCAAGCATGCCTTGGAAGTCTAGTGTGATACATTAAAAAAAAAAGACATTTTTTTAAATCCTGAACATTAATGTCTTATAGCTAAGTGAAATCAATGTATATCAGGGACTCCAAAGTCAAGATGATGTTTAAGCACGTTTTATGTACTCGAAATCATCAAATGAAATGGTCAATCATTCTTGCCAACATCATCATCATATTTCTCGAGTAGACCAACCCAAGAAAAGCTTTCAGGGTCATTTTAGGAATAAAATGATTCTCAATCTAACGTGTAGAATTGGTTTTAAATTTCCAAAAATCGACTCTTGGAAGAGGATTAGCATTCATTCTTTCATTTTATATGATACATGAGAGAAATAGAACTCATGGTGAAGGTTTTAGATCCATAACCCTAGAGGATACAGAAGAGAAAAATGTACATAGTCCATGGAGACCAAGAGTTTTGGCTCCTTATTTTAGACTCCAATTTGTAAATCTACATAGCTTCAATTTTATTCTGAAATGACACCCTCTTTAGAGGACTGGCTTGTTCCCACAAAGGACATGCACAGGAAAATGAATCCACAACATTTGATGATTCCAAAAGATAAGCGCAGGAAAGAAAACAATAGAGCATACCCAAAAAAAACAAAACAAAACAAAGTTTAACCTGTTTTTGGAATGTGCGAAGGTAAGGGAGCATTTGGAAACCCAATGCCTTCATTTTTTATGTTATAGATAAAAAGGACTTCAAATAGAGAAAAGGGGGGGGGGGGAGAGTGAGAGGTGAAAATGAATTGGAAGAAAATATAGTCGAACATAATTTTTTCACCAAAAAAATTAGAGAGGAAGAGGTTCCATGCCAACAACAAAACCATGTCTCCCACTTAATCGTGGAACCAAGTAAGAAACTGGATTAAATTACACTTAAAAAAAAACAACTAATGAAGAAGATAACGCAGAAAGAACCGATGTCGCTGCATGGTGGAATTTCCAAAAACACTAGTCTCCATCCCAGCACTGTATATCAGTGCTAAAAAAGAAACTCTTGATTCCAATCCAGAATATCAACATTAAAACTGAAAGAAAAATCAAAATAGAATATATGGCTAACTTCCATATATCATATATTAGACAGCTCATGACCTTCCCCTGAAATGATTTTGGCACACCGAAACAAAGAACCACTGAAAAAGCAGTGTGCACATATGTTTTACACCACATTGTGAGATCACCATTCATATTCCATCATTTTACAGTCCTCCATTCCCATTACTTCCGTTCAAGATATCTGCCCAGATTTTTCTGCTAAATATATGTATCATCAATGTATATGTAAGGCCATCCATCTTTTAGAATAATTTAGAGTTCATTCACCTCAACACAAGAGGGTTCTCCTTTCAATCATGTGTACTACATTTTTTTCTCATGACAGATTCTCCAATCAAGTGTATAGTATCTACGTATGTGTATGTACAATTATATGAGAAATATGGTAATAATATTCCACAACCATAGATAATTACAAGGATGATATGAAAGTACTCACTTCAATTCTAGACATGCCATCTCCCAAGAAAGCACAAGCATTCTTCACATGGGCAACGTAATAAGTATCACATAACCCACATTGACTGCCAAATTCAAATAGAAAATTATACACTACAAGCAGACGGTTCCTATCCAATTCGAAGCTGAAGAAGAAAGTGGGTTGTGATGAAAAATGTAGAATTTGAACCTGCAATGGTCTTTGGCCGGGTAGGTTCCACCAGGAGGAATGGGCCTGGACCGTTTTCTCCAGTCTTCTCTCACCTTCACCGAGTTTGCTTCTGTGCAAATGAAACCAACAACAAAAATATTTCAAGAATTCTACAACATCGATGTGTGTGTGAGAGAGAGAGAGTACCTTTGGAAGAACAAACAACCGATAAGGAGAGAGGTAATGCGCAGAGTTTTGCAGTGACAATAGCCATGGCAGACAGAAAGAGATGTGAACGTTCCCACAATGGTTTTACACCACATATATATGAGCAACGGTGAAACAAACAGTCATGCCCACTACGACGTCGTGTGGACTTAGTAGAGGCAAAAGTCTGTATACCCATATCCGGCAATTTCTTCAAAACAGTTATTTTCTAACTTTATTTTCCATTCAAGGTAATTTCTAATTTATTTTTCCATTTTTCGTAATTTCATTGTAAAAGAATATATTTGAAAAACATACATTCAATGTAGGCTTGTCATTTGAATGGATTCTAATCTGAATCCGAGTTCATTTAATTAGATATGGATTAATAGTTTAATCTATTTATTTGAATCCGATCAAGTTTTTTTAAACATATTTGAATTTGGATACATGTAAATCTGATTTGATAAAAATTTGATCCCCAAATCTGATCAAATTTTTTTAAACATATTTGAATTTAGACACATAAATCTGATCCGATAAAAAATTGATCGCCGAATCCAATCAAATTTTTTTAAACGGATTTAAATTTAGATACATATAAATCTGATCTGATAAAAAATCGATCTAGTGTACATACATACATATTTAATTTAGAGAAATTATTGAATATACATATGTACATAGTTAATTGTTAATGAGATTGACATGAAGTTATTGAATACAATGATTAGTTGATTAAATTAAATTGAAAGTTAACTTAAATTTGGTAAAATTATTAATTTTTTATGAAATTTTGTTAGGATTCAAAATTTTAGATCGGATTGAATATTTAATTATTAACAAATGCTGATATAAATTAAGATTTTAAAATTTGTCAGATAAAAGAATCGGATTTGAAACTCAAATTTTTTGTCGAATTTGGATCTGAACAGATGAGATCCGTTGGCAGCACTAATTCGATATGTTTTTCAATTAAAATAAAATAAAATTGATCTTAGAAAACATGTGTTCACCTAAAAACAAATATGTAAATTTAAATATTCCTTAATGGAAATTAGAGAAAAATGAAAACAAAATATTCAAAATAAAGTATAAGGATATTAAAGTTAGAGAATGATGATATTTTGGCCAAAAAAATATATTTCTGTCTTCCCTCAAAACAAAGTCATTGTAAGGCTTGTCACATTAAGCAGCATGAAGTCGAATTGAATTTGAGTCGATATAGTCTCCATGAAAGACTCTGGCAACATTTGCGAAGTACAATCACAAAATTAGTGTATTTTTAAGTTGAAAAGTGTTACTTGCACTAATTAAAAAGCCATTCGACAATCTTATTTTATCACAACATTTTTATATAAGAACCTCATAATAAAAAATACATTTGTTTAGCGATTAAAAAATTATCCATCTCAAGGTCCGATTTGAGGTCGAGTCTTGTCGATTGCATAGCAATTCTCTTCCCATTTTGCAATGCCAATAGAAAGAAATTCCAAGAAATAGCAATTTATGATGCCTACAAATCNGTCGATTGCATAGCAATTCCCTTCCCATCTTGCAATGCCAATAGAAAGAAATTCCAAGAAATAGCAATTTATGATGCCTACAAATCATTTATAATTCTATTGAGTAGCTCAAGTGATGATAGAATGCAAATTGTACAATCAAACGTTTTGAATTCAAAACTTAACAACCACTTAAGACCTGATTATGAGGTAGATTTATCTCTCATAAATATCCTAATTCCGGCATGAATGATTTATTTTTAATCGGACCGAAGAAAAAATTAGTCAAAGTGTATGTAAACTAATCCAAACATCTTTTTTGACAAAATCAAAAAAAAAATTAATCAAAATGCGCATAAATTGACCGAAACATCCTTGATTGTTGAACCCCAAAAAAAATCCATTAGCTTTCTCCTTCCCTTTACCCAACTTGAGCAGCACAACCTCGAGGCATGAGGAGAAACTATCCCTTCTCGTCGGAATTGCAACTATTATGTGAGCTTCCTCTGATTCCTCTTTAACTACAACTTTTGGTAGTAAATGACAAAGAAGACTCCTTGGATGGACATAGACATGAGAAGAACCCATCTTCTAAGAGGAAGGCAATGGGGGGTAGTTTCTTCCTTTTGCCGGTGAGTCGTAGCTGGATCAGAGTTTTTCTGGAGTAAACGATGAGTCATTGACAGATCAATCCTAGTAAAAATATAGGCAAGGCCCTGTCAATTTATCAGATTCTCAAAATAAATCAGCAAAACCCTCTCCTTGTTATCGGTCACGAGATGTACCAGACCTGCAGAATAGGGGATTTAGAGCAACTGAGCAACAATCTGCTGATAACTGGTTCAATGCAAAACCATTTCTTTCATACATTGTGATTTTACGCCCTTATCTCGACAACAAGTATGATGAGAACAACTTCTTACTTCAGCTGGAACAAATCAAGTGCATATTAGGGTCTCTGAAAGTTTGATTGTACCAGAGTACTATATCTCTTTCCGTATTTAGTTAACTTCTCACGCTCAATACATGTCCAACTAAAACTTGATAGACCTACGCAAATCAAGAACAAAAAACGCAGGGCTATCTTTATTGACAAACATTTAAGAATTGGACATCGCACCTTCCAATGGATTGGAACCCCTCTCAGAATCTATGATTTTCTTCTATAAAAAAGAATTGACTGTGTAATTGATTCAATATAGACTGTGACCTCCAATGAACCACCCAAATTAAGGGTGGGAGGAACAAAAACAGATCTGCATTCCACCTCTGGTTCATGAACTGTATTGAACAACAGATCAAAGAAGCTTGCTTGTTCGCCGTCTTGATGGCCCACCAGGAAAGAGCTTCATTATCCATCCCAACATCCTTTCAACCACCTAGTCAGAGAAATACATATGGCGTCAAATGTAGCAATGGATTCAGGGAAGCAATCAAATCAAGTTGCATAGAGAGCAATGCCAATTTATAATGAATAAGCTGATCAACTTTGCATAATGCTCTTGATTCTAGGAGGGAAAGTTGTCGAACACGGTACTTGGAATATAGCGTGAGAAAAGAAATAATTGATAAGAAGAAGACCACATGGGGAAAATGCAATGAACTCAGCTGGACAAAGTTCATGAATCAGGAAATATTCAGACAATATAGGAATACATGCACGACATTTGTTACCAGGGATACCTACAGAGCAAATCATGATTGAGTATTGCCAAGTATGCCGCTCACATTTGGGGTGTGAACCAAGGATGAGGACCTCGGGAGTGGGATGAGCAGAAAGCTAGAGAGAGACAGCAATCAAGAAAATGCAAAAAAGTGCATTTGGTTCAAGTGTTGTGATTCCTAAATCAACAACGCTAGGACGAAATTCCATTTAATGAAAGATGCAAAAATTGTAAGGAGAACAAAAACCAAAAAACAAATGTAGAACTGGTATTCCTATCATGATCCCGATATATTTTGTTGGTTTCATCACTGCTTTGGTTTAATTGACAAATTTTACAGGATTGCGTTTGAACTTGTTTATGAGTGGTAGGGTTGCAGCTTCATCTTTCGTCCAAAAAGGAAAACCATTTTGGCAACCCAGGTCAAACTGGGAATGAAAAAATCATCATAAATTGAACAAATTAAAAATCGAACAAATTAAAAAACTAGCTGCTTCTTAACTCAAAATTGTACCTGAAGCAACAATGACCCTTCATAAGGATGTCATCCATTAGACAATCCTACTACATGATGTAACCCAGAACCTTTTGGGCCAGAAAAAACTTCAATAACAAGTAAGGATTGTTTATAGATATGTACCTCATCGCCTTCATCTGCATATGGAGTGTTTTCATTCATGGTGCGGGCATCTGGTTGTCTTTCTGGAATAATGTTGTGCGCCATACTTTGCGCAGTTAAAAGTTCTAATCTTTGTGTTTGAACTTCAAGTTTTCGAGACAACTCCTTGTTCTTTTCCTTCATTCAGAAAGAAGAAGAAATAAGACAATTTCACTCAATACAACACCACACGGGACTAATCATGAAATTGTAATAGATGCTGATGCTCAAAAGTTAAATGACCATAAACCTGAAGCTAGAACTTAAAATTGATTCAACCTAAATGTTAGAACACTATTTTTTTGCTCAAAACTACTGTCATTTTTTTAAACTTGGAAGTGAATGTCTGAGAGAGTGCATATGAATCAATGCCAAGAGGATAATGAATGAAGACACTACAAGACAAAGACTGACTACAAATAAAGCACTTCGGGGAATCAGATCCTTCTACCATAGACCAAACCAAAGCAAACAAGCCAAAAGCCTTTGCCCTGATTATTTGAGATTGGATGCATGAACTCTTTTATCGCTATTTTGCTTTGTCCGCTATATGCTCATTTAAATTACAATCTATTATTCTTCTCAGCTAACTCAGACCATGTTCATTTGGTCTTCCTCTTCCTCTAGCATTTTGATCAGTGGTTTTACCTCACCATTAGTAAATAAAAAGGGTATTTTTCCCCTGAAGGAATATTATCATATAAGTTTTCATCCAACCTAAATAATAAAACAAATCTAACACAGTTCACAACTTTTGCATTGCTATCCCTGAAATATAGCAGATGCAACTTGCCCTTCAATTTTGTAACAATGACTTATTATATCTGCTATGCTTAGATTGCAAGCATAAAATTACAATGTTGAAGGATTAATGATTTTTGCATTCAGTTGAAGTTTTTTTATATTTTTTTACAGATGAAAGGATAATTAGGATCTGCTCCGATGATGTGAGAGTAATTGGAATTCATCTATCTAGATATCATAACAAAATTGCATTTCTCATCTACGTAAGTATTTAACATAACAAAATGAACCAATCGACTGACATGCATTTTATTCCTCTTTTCAAATTAAATTTCAGGTGCATACATGAGAGAATACATCCCTATTATTTTATGGTGTCCCAAAACTAGCATGCCAGGCAGCATGATAAATGGTCAATGTAATATGGTGCCTACAAACACAGCAACAGTCTTTTCCAAAGGGAAGTAAATGGTCTAAGATAAATTTAATTCGCTGATTAGAATATAAAATCTAGGTTTACTGGTTTCAGACGAATGGATTTTCAGCAAATTTCTGCACACACACCAACCAAAAACACTATTCGTCTCCAGTATTTGAGGCATCTAATCCAAAGCCAACTAGCGATGGGTGGAGAGATCCCTCAGCCATATAAAACAATCTTGGATGACTCGGATATCTTGATGTGAGATACAAGTTCTTTTTACAACCACCATCACATGGGACTTGACTCAAATGTGACCTAACAAACTGAACTGAAACCAGTAAACAAACCAGAAAATTCATAGGGGTGAGAGACCTAGCCCACTAAACATTCAAGATCCTGTTCTAATACCGACATTCAACTCAAAACCAATTGGCCCTCAACCACATAAATCAACCCATCTTTCAATTTCTGATGCACATTCTTTTCGCATACCCAGTATCTTTCTATATCATCAGCTTCCTGTATCAACACCTTAAACCTAACTTTATTTTTAGTAAGATCAAAAGTCTTTTGGGGTGATACCGCCACAGAGACACTACTATATTCAGAAGAAAATTACTTTCAGTATGGTACTCTGGGATGATTCAGTTGACAAGGCTCGCATCCACTCCTCTTTCTCCAATGCAAACTGCAATAGCATAAAGTTCAACAGTTAGTGATTTCTGAAAGGTATAACCAGGAATTACACCTACAGGAAAACGGAAGCACAAAATTACAAATATGAAAGAAAACACTAACTGGAAAGGCCCACACCTTAAAATAGAACCAGGAAAAAACCAAAAAAGGATCTAGACCTGAAAAAGCAATTGATAGAGAAGAAATAATTTAACATTTGATACCTCAGAAATTAATGTGTTGATGTTTTGAATCATTCTCATCTGATCAGCAGGAATATTTGAAGACAAGCTTTCAAGACTGAACTGCCCATTTTCAGGCTCAAAGGGGTGTGCAGTGGTGGGCATTTCCGAGTTTGGGGTGTCCGTTGAAGCATCTGTATCATTCCTGCTAACTGAATCATCAATATCAACATTTAGTAGAGATGTCAAAATAATAGATAACCCCAATGCAAAAGAAAAAACCATCAAATATTTCCAGCAACAAAGGTATATAGTATAGAGAAGAGTAAAACCAGTACATGTCTCTATATGAGCATACTTGTCTGATTAAAAAAAAAAGTATGTGGTAACCCATAAACATAAAAACATTGTTCCCAATTACTCCCCAGATAAAGCATAGATGAAATACAGTAATTAGAAAAGAATTTGCTATCTCAACAAGAGGAGTGACTCATTAAGATGACTGTTTATGTGTTTTATGGACGGTATAAACCATTTCCTATAATCATGAAAAGGGACCTTAATTCCCTGCAAATTAAACAAAAGATATACATTACCTATAGCAAGCTTGACAATGTCAGAAGATAAGCATCGTCAAAGACATCTCTGGAATAGTTTTTGAGAGGCTCCCCTGCTAGTTTTCTTTTTTGTTCCTTCCCTACTACCCAAAAAAGGAAAGACATAGGAAAGGTAATGGAGGAACATGAACGGTTTAGGTGTGGCACAACCTTGGAAACTCCTCAATCTGAGAAAATAAAATGTGGGACTCATCTGATCGGACAACTCTAGGAGATGGTGATGACTGTTGGATTGGGTATAAGTAAAATCAACACATTTCTTTCCTAAAGTCTTGGGGCTGGTGGAGTCGGAGATGGCCAAAGTATTCCCGAGACATGAAAATAATTTCTCTCTCTCTCTCATGATAAGGGTATGAAACTAAATTGTAGCAGCCAAGTTTCTTAGGATCTAGCTAATGATCTTTCCTATACCCTGTGCTCCTCTAATTTTACATACACTAGAGGTGTAGCCATAAAGAAAGTCTTCCTTATAAACCTGATTGAAGTTAGCATACCCATACCCAAGTGCAAAATTTCCAACATGGGGTACTTAATGCATTCAGAAGAGTCAATCTAACATAGGTTTGGTGGTTGCGAAGGGACTCTGTTCAGCCCAATGCTCATATTAAAACTCAAACTGTAACAGTGGCACTTGAACATTGTTTCAGAATGACCCAATGTTGGGCCAATTCTCAGATCGGAATCAGCCTAAAAAAGTTTCACTTGTTTAACCAATCTGAAGTCCCAAACCACAGGAAGAGACCATACTCTACCTGGCCTCATCATAGCCCCACAAACGAGTAAGTCTATGGTGACTATATTTCTCTAAGGATGCAAGGGCCCCCACTATATCTTATTCATGCAAAAGCAAAGATCCCAACTTTAAGATTTGAAGAACAGTACAAAATATCAGTTTTTGTTGAAAAACATTGCATGTGAGGATGGATGATCACACACCCCACAACCCACCTCCATTAATACATGATTTCTTTGTCCAATCTCCCCCGACGGTCTTTCAAGGCTTCCAAGACATTGAGTATTATTTGCCTATAAAAGGCATACGAAATGAATCAGCAAGTGCAAACGAAAAGAGTAGAAAAAGCAATAGTGTGATCCTGAAGATCAACACATTGATATAATAAGCTCCTAAGGACTTGTTTTATATAATTTTGTACATTGCTCTCTTAATATTTTGTTAATATTTTATTGATTTTATAACACGTTATCAGCACGATTCTCTAATCATCCGAAGAAAAATCTTCATATTCGAAAAAATTTCCAAGTAAGTCAAAGAATGATAAGTTCTTTACAATTTAATATTTATTCTTTGATATGTAAAGTTATTGAAAAAAAAAAACATAGAAGTCCTGAAAACTTCGGATCAGTTTTATAATTTAAATAAGTCCTAAAAATTTGGGAAGTCCTGATGACTTTGGATTAATATTTACAATTCATGAAAGTCTTGAAAACTTTGTCATGATATGAAGTTCTATGAACTTTAATTTTATGCATTGAACTATTATTATTATAATAAGCTACCATATAAATTAAGATGACTTTTACCAAAAGTCATATATTTACATTCTACATTTGTATATTAGTAGCTGTCAATAATTCATGATCATTAATAATTTTGTACGGTTAATTGTTATTATTATTGAGATGCTTATTACTTCATTATTTATTGGATTTTAAATATGTTATTACATTTTGTCATTATAATAATATCTAACCTCATGAAACTTGAACATGTTGCTCTTGACATTACGAAAAGAGCAACAAAGAAATAATGTTGATCCTGAAGATCAACACATTGATATATTAAGTTCCTGAAAGACTTGTTTCATATATAACTTTGTATCACTCTCTTAATATTTTGTTAATATTTCATTGATTTTACAACAGTTTTGCATTTTCCTCACATGTCCAATGAGGAAAGATATCAGACAATGCATACCAGGCACAAAGATGTTCCTTTCCGAGTAATGAAGAATATCTGGTCTGCTAGTATCCCTCACAGAATTATGCAGATCCACACTATACACAAAAACATGCACCATGCAATGGATGCATTTTTTAGTCCAGAAACCCAGACCAGATATGCAATGTTGCAAAAGCCCAACCCCCCAAAACCTAGCAAGCAACAAATTATGTCTGCCTTAATATCCATCCACCAGGACTCGATACGTTCCCTGAAGGAAGAGGTAGGACAAAAATGGAGACAACTGTTGTTGACTTCATTATTGGGCAGCCCAGGGCATTGAGGCACCGACTACTGGGAGGTTTGGAAAGGGTCAGATATATTCTGTGACTAAAAGTTGCCAAACAATTTGTTAGAATCTCGTCCTACTCTCCTGGGACACTTGAAAAGCAACTCAACATGCACCTGGTGCACCACACATAAAACACAAAAACAAATATTCCTGAATTTCCACAAATAGCCTTCCTTTGTCAAGAAGTTGATTCTGATTAGACTGTTTGAGCAAGTCACCAAATAATTCATCTCTTGCCAAAAAAAAAAAAATTATAACACTTAGAAACCACTAAAATTCGGCCTAAGGTTGGAGAAGAGGTTTATTACTTCATAAACTACAGTAAAACTTTTGCTTTAGAACTTTGTAAACTAATTTTACTTGAAAAGGGGCTACTGAAGAGCAAAGTTGGTTCCGTTCAAGATTAATTTAAAAAACTTGATTAGTATCACCCTAATTACCATCATACAAAACAAGATCCATAAGGAAAGTTTTTAGTTAAAAAGCCATAATGACAGAACAGAGAACTAAGAAAATTACATACCAAGATCCTCCGTAGAAGTTGACACCTCTTTTGTACTAGTCAGACTCTTGCTAACATCAACCAACTTCCCACTCGCAGAAGCTTTCCGTAGCTTGGATTGCAAGAGTTTTTTCTCTGTTCAAGAGGAAGAACAGTGAAAAAGAAGCAAACATGGCAAAATATTATTTAACCAAAAACAAGGAAAAACACGAGCATCATAACCTAGTGTCAAGGTCACACTGCATGTACATTAACATTTAAAAGTTAACATCATTTGAAAAACCCATGATGTTCCAGTAAAAACTGAATTACTGTGCAGAAATTAGAAATAATATACTACAAGCAATAAGAACCTCGGTAGATCAAGGCTAAGCTTCATGAAGCATCACAAACTCTTGCGCAATCAAATTGACATAATTAAAAATGCCAAGAAATTTTCCTCCAATACGCTTAACAAAATACAAACATATATCAATTAAGAAAAGATATCAATTCATTAAGTGAACTCAAACTTCTTATAACATAAACATTTGAAAAGCATTGAACTGGAATTGCTTCACACTTGTCTCTAAGATATCTGAAAAGACGAATTTGATAGGTTGATAGCCATTAGCTGTGTTGATAAGACTTAATGCAACTCCACTTATGTTCTATTTTCTTGTCTACGGCAGTGTCACATTCTAGCAATTCTTCATATGCTTTCATCAAGGTACATAAATTCAAGAGGAGAGCTCAGAACCTGTGCACAAAAAGGGCAACAAATCTGCCATCTTGTGTGGCGTATGTTTGAAATCATGTGTCGTGAAGTTCAGAGTCACCTTGAGGACTTGGTTGATGTTGGAGTAGGCTGAATAAGCTGCTGAATACATTTTTGTATCTGTTTTATCAGTTGAGTCAATGTGATTTGGTTTTTCCAAAAATTGTGAGCATGGCCTTTTGTTTGGGTCCATGGGTCTCCTTTTGGTCTAACTATAATATTAGGTTTTAATTGAATTCCTTGAAGCAAGAATATGCTAGAGGTCAGAATCTTCAGATAGTCATCAGTGTCCTAATTATCGGGTTGTAGTACTAGTTGAAGTAGGATAATCATCACCCCACATAAAAACAGANAAGAGGTTTATTACTTCATAAACTACAGTAAAACTTTTGCTTTAGAACTTTGTAAACTAATTTTACTTGAAAAGGGGCTACTGAAGAGCAAAGTTGGTTCCGTTCAAGATTAATTTAAAAAACTTGATTAGTATCACCCTAATTACCATCATACAAAACAAGATCCATAAGGAAAGTTTTTAGTTAAAAAGCCATAATGACAGAACAGAGAACTAAGAAAATTACATACCAAGATCCTCCGTAGAAGTTGACACCTCTTTTGTACTAGTCAGACTCTTGCTAACATCAACCAACTTCCCACTCGCAGAAGCTTTCCGTAGCTTGGATTGCAAGAGTTTTTTCTCTGTTCAAGAGGAAGAACAGTGAAAAAGAAGCAAACATGGCAAAATATTATTTAACCAAAAACAAGGAAAAACACGAGCATCATAACCTAGTGTCAAGGTCACACTGCATGTACATTAACATTTAAAAGTTAACATCATTTGAAAAACCCATGATGTTCCAGTAAAAACTGAATTACTGTGCAGAAATTAGAAATAATATACTACAAGCAATAAGAACCTCGGTAGATCAAGGCTAAGCTTCATGAAGCATCACAAACTCTTGCGCAATCAAATTGACATAATTAAAAATGCCAAGAAATTTTCCTCCAATACGCTTAACAAAATACAAACATATATCAATTAAGAAAAGATATCAATTCATTAAGTGAACTCAAACTTCTTATAACATAAACATTTGAAAAGCATTGAACTGGAATTGCTTCACACTTGTCTCTAAGATATCTGAAAAGACGAATTTGATAGGTTGATAGCCATTAGCTGTGTTGATAAGACTTAATGCAACTCCACTTATGTTCTATTTTCTTGTCTACGGCAGTGTCACATTCTAGCAATTCTTCATATGCTTTCATCAAGGTACATAAATTCAAGAGGAGAGCTCAGAACCTGTGCACAAAAAGGGCAACAAATCTGCCATCTTGTGTGGCGTATGTTTGAAATCATGTGTCGTGAAGTTCAGAGTCACCTTGAGGACTTGGTTGATGTTGGAGTAGGCTGAATAAGCTGCTGAATACATTTTTGTATCTGTTTTATCAGTTGAGTCAATGTGATTTGGTTTTTCCAAAAATTGTGAGCATGGCCTTTTGTTTGGGTCCATGGGTCTCCTTTTGGTCTAACTATAATATTAGGTTTTAATTGAATTCCTTGAAGCAAGAATATGCTAGAGGTCAGAATCTTCAGATAGTCATCAGTGTCCTAATTATCGGGTTGTAGTACTAGTTGAAGTAGGATAATCATCACCCCACATAAAAACAGAGTGAAAGATGAATCGAGCTCTGATAACTGTGAAGAGCTTTGAAGCCTTTTTGTGATACTTTATGCAGCCTTACCTTAGGCGGTTTTCTACTCGTTTTAACTGCCATCATTTCTTGAAACCCATCTTTGAACCCTAAAAGCCCTAATATATGAAGCTAAAGCCTCTCTTCTATTACTACTCAGCCCAACTCCAAGATAACAATTACCTGAGTACTATATCTCAAGTTACTATTTACAGCCCCAGAAAAATCCCGATTTACCATCACTCATCAACTCTAACCCTTTATTTAACTCTTTGGCCATTAAAACAACACCTATGCAGAACGTGGCAGGGACATTGGTGAGTCCAAACAGCATAACCAAATTCTCAAAGGCCCCTTTATTAGTAAGGTTGCTTGCTTGTCACATAGGTCGTCTTTTGCTCGTCTCCTTCTGCGATACGCACATGATAGTAGCCCGACCTTAGATCCAACTTTGAGAAGTATCTCACGCTTATTGATTAGGGCGAAGAAGTCTGCAACAGTGTTATTTAAGGCGTAAAGCGAACTAAAGCGACCAAGGCTCCTAACGCCTAGGCGAGAAGCGAGAAGCGAAGTGACACGCTTTACCGAAGCAAAGCGAGCAGTTAAAAAAAATATATATTTTAGTTTAATTACTTCTAAACAATCTAAGTTCTAATTTTATGTATACTAAATATTTAAATGCAAGTAAAACCATAAACATTTAAATTAAAACAAACACTAATAATATCTTAAATTTTAATAACAGTCATAACTTAAACATTTAAATTCAAACAAATACTAACAATTGTATACATTTTCATATTGACAGGGTAGGACAACAAAAGAAACAGAATCAGGACAGCAGCAGAATCAACCCAAAAAAAAAAAAAAAAGCAGAATGAGGATAAAAAAAAACAGAAGCAGCACAGGACAACAAAACCGAAGCAACAACAGAATCAACAAAAAAAAATAGAAACAAAATGAGCTAAAAAAAAAACAGAAACACAATGATCATGACAGGAGCAGAATCAATTGTAAATAATTTCATATGTAATTATGTACTGAATAAAAAAAGCAGAACAGAGGCACATTTCACATGTACTAAAATAATTAAACATGGTATGACCATAGACCACTTTTTGGTACCATTTGTATATATATAAGAAAAGGGAAAAGTATAACCAAGACATATCAGAGACTCTTCTTTGTAGAAGACTATTATTTACCCCCATTCCTGATACTCCTGCTTCCTTTCTTTATCATAATTTTATCATGCAGTCGCCTAACTCCCACATCTCACAAATATTCTAAATGAATTTAGCAACACAAGAAAAAAAAAGGAATGTGTTTTGTTCGAAACATTGTTCATTAGAAAAAAAAAAAATAGCCCATCGATAGTCTAACAAAAAAGTCATTAGTGATTAAAAAATAAAAGAGACTACTAACCTGTAATCAGAAAAAAAAAAAAAAAAAAAAAAAGGGAAGCAGAATTGCCTCTTATAATAAAGCGGTCGCTTTTTCGCTCGCTTTTTTCACTTTTTCTCGCTTTTTTCTCGCTTCGCTCACGTTCGCTTCACCTGGAGTCCTCCAGGCGAGATAAGCTCGCCTCGCCTCGCCTCGCTTCTCGCCTAGGCAAGTGCCTAGGCGAGCTTTTCAAAATACTGGTTTGCAATCAAAGTGGATACTTGTTTTTGATGGTTAGGTTATCTTGTTGAGCACCCGATAATCAATGCACAAGGGCTCCCGCTTTTTCTGGAATAAAACAGGGGCTCCCCAACCTTTTCCCCAGCAAGATAGAGGAAAACTACCATAGAGGCTGGAATAGAAATAGGCCTCAATGAGTTCCTGAAATTCTTTCTTGAGCTCAAGAAAGCCCCTTAACTAATAGATGCTAATTAGGGAGGCCATCTGCAAAATCCAGCCCCAATCTAAGTAAGTTAAGGAGCTTTGGCTCCAGGCTTCAACTCGATCTTGCCTCCTAGGGGCCACTCGACAACTAACTCGTGTGGCATGATATCTCAAAATTCCTCAAGTACTGCATGCAGTCCAAAATTTCTGAGAGCCTTTATTCTAAACATTCTCCAACTAATCAATTTTAAAATGAGACATGAACAGCCCCCCCAAACCCATCTTTTTACACTGCTCAATATACTATAACTTGTAAGAGAGTGTTTCAAAAAGCTTCTACCACATCAGGCTCATTAAGTATTAAAAGACTTGACAATAAGAGCTGATGATCCAGTGGTCCATTCCAAGGAGAAACAGCGAGATTTCATCTAAGATGAAAAGGCTCACTTATTCAAGGAATAAAGAGAGTATTTACAAATGCTTACTACGAAGCTGGTGAGAGTAGATAAACCCTCCAAATCATTCCAATGGCATGTTTTAACTCCAAGAAGTCGCCCTCTTCATCAACCAAACTTAGCATCCAATAAAACCAAATGAAGTCTTTTCACTTCAACCAAAATTCTCTGGAAATGCCCAGAATTCCAAATGCCTAATCTCCAATTCCTAACCAGCCACCACGAAGAAGTTTTCTCAAGCCAATCTATCCATTATACAAAACAATCAAATATTGTGGGGGAGAGCTTGGGAATCTTTTCTTCCACAAATGCTTAATTCTCCTATTCTTAATTTTTTTATCGAACTTTCCTTCAATCAAATTCTTCCAAATTTTTGTACAACAACTTACTCACTTCCCAGTCTTTCTTCAACATGTAAGTACCTTTTCTTTTTTTCTTTCTATGACACTACTAGACAAATTAAATGGGTTGGGGCGACGCTGGTGTGAGGATATAATCACGCGCATCACATGGATCCGCCACTAATTATTTCTGAAGTACCAGTGAGGAAACACAAATCAGAACACCTTGTTGAATGGAAAAACTCCAGATGAAAGGCAGAACAGTCCCTCAACTAGATTCAAAATAGCCAGAGGTATTTCTAACGTGGTGCCTGAAAATCACAATGTGCAATGTATTCAAAGTTACCTGATGATACCCTATCAAAATTCAAACTGAAGACACCACCACAAAGTGGCTTCTAACGATGGTGACATTGCATAACTGGATATAAATCCAAAAATAGACCTAGGCCTCAATCAAATCCCTTATAAGCTATCATTCAAAAGGAAGATCAAAAATAAATTCTAGACCATATCTCTTCCAATGACGGATCTTACTTTTAAAAGTTCTATACTTTCTCTTTTTTATTTGATAGTCCATTCTCATAATCCTCTCCAAAACATGTAAAAGAATCAAAGGGCAAAAGTCAACAAAATCTCTACAATTGGATATTTTATAGGAATTCACCAATTATGATACTATTTTTTAAGAGCTTTTGGATATAAACAATTATGCTGAATCCATCAATGGTAGGGTTCCTGAATGGTCTAAACAGAAACATGCATAAGAAAACTAGAATTTTTGAAGTAAATGTGATCGCTTCATAATAGATTGGTTTCACTTATACATTGAAGGTTGAGAATTCGGGATTACAACATGGTATTGTATGGTGATGGAAATATTCCTCTACTATCAATTGAATTATTTTTTAAACGGGTCTCATTTTCTTCACCTTGTTCTTCAATTGAGTTTCCTTTAATCAAAATGTATACTGCATAGTTAAACACAATAACATGCTAACCTTCCTGCAGAGCATTAAGGGTTGACTGTAAATCTTGACGGTCCTTCTCGAGGTTTGATATTTTCTTCCTGCATGATTTAATGAAAAAAAATTCTATTGTCTGATTCTGACAAAGAAAGACTTCAGTGTGAGATGGAAGTTTGGAAACTTTTCTTTCGGTTGATGACAATTCAAGTTTGTTAAACCCCAACACACCCCCCCCCCCAAAAAAAAAAAAAAAAAAAAAAAAAAACCCCTCCCAAAAAAAGGAAGAAAGAACCAATTAAAAGGATTGGCTTTTTGAGTGAGGGTTGGGAGAGAGAAACAACAATAGGTGACTGGAAATGGAGCTCAAAGATTAATTATTTACATGAGCAACATAATGGATACCTGAATGAAGACATCTCAGCTTGCGAGTTCTCTAATTGTCTCTCCAGTTTTAGCTCACTGGACCTCAGTCTGAGTGCCTACATAAACCCATCAGACATAAATAAAAACCAAATTGAAAAAAATATAATAATAATAAATGCATGTAAAATATCAAAAAAGGGGTAATAATGGAGGGAGAAAAAGTATTACAAGATACTGTTAAACTAATAACAAATTACAATTTAATATTTTCAGAAGTGAGTTAAAAATGATTGGGTATGAACAAGCAACACATTCACTTGTAGAAAAACTAAAGCATCTGAAACGTAAGGAAGTAATAACCCCTACAGAAGCTAGAGCAAGGCATAATTGAAAATGAATCGAATTATTGATCGTGTCATAAAGACCCTTATGCCCACGTCCCAATTTCCCCCCACCCCCAAGAAGAATATGTGCATCTAAAAGATCCTTCATATTGTGCACAATCCCAAAGTTAGTTCTACACATATGACCAGCAATAAAAAAAATAAATGCAATAGCTAAATAATAATGAGCAATATCAGTCAGCCATAAACTTTGATTTTGTGGATGGAATCCCCAGAACTATCAATCGTAATATAAGACCCAATTGCTTTGCAAGTCACACCCATAGAAATGTAGAAGTAATTAGATGAAAACATTAGCTCAACATGCCAAAAAATCGGTGGCTCAAAGTGGGATATGCTCCTTTAAGTACAAAATCTCTGTCTACCCTAGAAAAGCTATTTGAAGCAACATAAACCCAAAAGATCATCCAGTTCCGACAGGCACTTAGCAGCTAAATATAAGAACAAGCACAAAAACTAGTACGAATTAGCACTAAATCTCTCAACATTCACTTGTTACTGACAAACTGGTAGTTTAAAGAAACATATGGGAAGAAAGCCAACTCTTTACAGATCGAAAAAACTTAAAAATACTCATCCAAATCAGTTTTGCAAGCTAAGAGTACAAGTGGAAAGTTCGTAGAAACATTGTCCATGCCGAACGATACCAAGGACTTCAAAAAGTCCCCTTTGGCCCATATAGAAGTATCATGTGACCAAGAGCCTGATCTGGAAATGGGATTATTTAATAGGATTCCACTGCCAAAGATTTCTTGCTTATCTGTTGATCCCATTAACTGGAATCTGCAGAAACACCCTACTTCCACCCCCACCCCCACATTTCCCATTGATATCCAACTCTGAGGTCATAAATCTCAAAAAGACTGTCATTAAGCTCTCACCGACCCCAGCAGTCCATATCAAAATAAGTTCCCAGTGGTATCCAGCGTTAGATAGATGAGTATCATTTCTAAAATGCGATAAAATTAATGTCACGGAAGTTGATCTTTGGAATGAAACTAAACTCGCTATGACCAGGGCAAAGCTATTCTAATAACCATGCATTTGCAAAAATATTTAAGAAGACAGCATGGACATAGTGTTGCGAAAAGTTAAAACTCTACGTCACTAAGAACATGTACACAGAAGAATACAATAATAGGTCACTGAAGAAGAAAATACTGCAGTCATAGAGGACATACAGTTTTAATAACAAAATCAATTATATGGTGAAATCATGTTCTCGCAACCATTGCAATGCATGTTGTTGATTTAGTTATCTCTGTCTAACAAGAGAGAAGACAATTTTACTAATAATGAAAATGGATGTAGTACAACTTCATTTGCAATTGTAGTATCGTACATCCTACAGTTATCTGGGTCTAACAAGGGAGAAGAAATTGACATTGTAATATATTTGCAGTTGTTGGATCTTGACCCTTCAAAGAACAGTCAGGTATTACAAATTTATAACACAATCATTCAAGAGAAGTTATTTAGTGCTAGAAGTTGTCTGAAGAATCGTCTGCACAACTGAATATTAAAGCCTAAATAAAAAAGGAACATGAGGATTTTTTGTGTTTTTTGGCCAAATTTCATTTTACCTCGCTGTGGTGGAAGTAAATATTCAATGTAAAAGTGACATCATATCATCGCCACGTGGTGTCACCAACCACTTATGAATAAACAAGTAGAACAAGTGAACGCCACTAATCCTACTTTGTAATTATTGGATGTGGATGTTGTTGGTGGTTACAAACTTTTGTGGGATCCACTAATACTACGTGGCGGCAATGACTGGGTGTCATCATTTGAATATTTTGTCAAGTGGTGGGACCTTTTTTTATGATCACCTCCCTCTACTTCAAAAATGGCTCATAACCCACGTGTGGTTTACAAACTAATACGCACAAGTAACACCGTTAACAACAAAAGATCCAAGGACATTAATAACCCTTATTTTTCCCTCCTTCCTTCTCTCCATGAATTGCCGCCACCAAATCTCGGCCACATCCCATCCCAGCTGCTGCAACTCCCCCAATTCTATTATCACTACCCTCCCTTTTGCCGCCCATCACCGTCATCTCCATGAGAAATTCAACAACCGATAAATTGGAAAAAAAAAAAAAGAAACTGGAAGAAAGTAGAAATGGAATTACAATCAAATTTATGCACATATATTGCAAAGAGTGCCAAAATGAGAGTCCAACAGTAACAAATTCAACCACCTCCTTTCTCCACCACATATTCAACAAGCAAATTTTAACGCAAATGAGAAATTTTTGGGAAGACAATTGAGCCGGAAATGCTTGTGAACTCATCTGACTGATCTATACACCACCCTCATCATATCCATCAAGCCTCAATTCCCAATTACACATCTCAAGTGATCCTACACATCAAGATTCAGTTCCCAAGTACACACGTCAATTCCACTCTTTATACATCATCTCTCCCCACCCATGTTTTGATTGGTTTTCCTTTCACTTTGTCCCCTTCTATGAAAAGCCAATTCTCTTTCCTACTATTCTTTGTGACCCATGTTTCTAAATTAGGTCTTGCCCTTCTTGTAATCAGTACACATTCAGAAGAGGGAAAAAATCTTTCCTAGTAGTTTATTAGCAAAAACTTTGCTCCTTGGGTACAACATCTTCAATGGGGAGGAGAGGTGGGCGATGGAGGGTTTCTCTCGATGGAAAAGAAGATGTGGGTTATGATGGTGAGTGGTGACTGTTGACAAGAGAGAGGATTTCTATGTGCGGAAGAGAGATGTGTGTGTGTGTGTGTGTGTGTGTGTGTGAGAGAGAGAGAGAGAGAGAGGATAAAAAGAAGAAAGTGAGATCTATGGTTTATTTTTGCCTTTTAAATTGGATTTTTAATACCCACTGTCACCAAACATGAGAGTCACACACTACTAGTTAAATTAGATGAAAAATGTAATTATCATTTTAGTCAATAAACCACACGAGGGATATGAGTTACTTTCTACATTCTTCGAGAGGTGATCTGCAAAAAAGTCCAACCACAAGGAGGTAAAATAAAGTTTGCCCTTTTTTCCTTAATCAGGTTTTGGCTTCAGAGCCTGCTCAAGATAGTTAATTTCAAAGTCGTATTTGGCCGCTAATGCTTCATACATTTAAGGGCTTCAATCTAGCAGGTACTTGTTGGGGGCAGCCATGACCCGTTCCCAGATCACCACATTTTTGAAATGTCACCCACCCTTTCTCTTTCCATGGTATAGGCGTGCAATTCTCTCCCTTGGAAAAGATAGTTTCTCTTGTTGCCAAGAATGAAATGATCAACGACACATTAAAGTACACGCCCGTATGCACCTATATGTAGTACTAGATCTCCATGAACAAAAGAGAACCTAATAAAGAAACTCATAGAAGGTACAGAAAAATTACTATACTTCCTGCATTGTTTATTGAAATTCTTTTCAATTTTTGCCTCGTTGCAATTAGCAGCATTTGTTATTTGTCAATTACTCACAAGAATGTAGCAGTGGAAGAAAAGAACTAAAATTTCCTTTCGAAAAAATTTACCATGACCACAAACTACCTTCTCTTCTAATCCAATAACTTCCGAAGCCAACAATTTGGCACGTTCATCAGCTGCATTACATTCCAGCTGTGCATTTGCATATTCAATTTTCATAGATTCAAGTTCCACCTACAGGCATTGAAAATGACGTGATGAAAAGAGTACCTATCAGAAAAAAAAAGAAGCTAACTTGTCTAACCAAATTCATCATGCTTGGTAAGCTAGGTGCCACAAGAACATGTAACAATGAGATCAGAAAAATTAATGTGCCAATCATATTCATTAAAAAAACAATTTTGACAGGAAAATAAAAAATTGATGCAACCCAAAGAGGCAAGAATTTATCACGATATAGGATTCATGGCATTTGAAAGAAAAAGGATAAAACTAAGTTCTGGTGGAAGCCAGGCACAACAAGCAAGACCAAGTACTAATGACACCAAAGTTGAGCACTTGTTCTGTAGAACTTCTTTCAAAATAGATGACAATATGTAGGAAAATCTTCAAAAGTCAAAATAATGATTGATCAATTGCGTCAATTATTTTTTTCCATTTCATTCACCATTTGATAAAAAAACATATATATGTGACATCATTATACAAAATGAAAATTGGAAAAAAGGATCATCCATCATCCATGGACACAAGAAATGATGTAATTCATTTTTCCCATCTTTTATTGGATGTGTAATGCGCTTTTCCCTTTTTTCTTCAAGACAAGAACCCTGAAATATTATATATAGATGTACCAGTGGTCTTGAGAATAATAGTGACTAAAGCTCATTTAATGTTTTCTAACTAAGATTCAAGGCTTTGACACGCCATGGAGGTTCAATCTTCAAGGGTTTAAAGAACCACATTAAACAGGAACCAATTGAAATAAAAAAAATAAGCCCAAAAATAAAAGGGTAGAAAAATCATCCATTTTATCTTTGAGGTAGAGGTTATTAGTTGTGGACCGAGCTGTATTTAATAAAAAGATGAACAATCATGGTACAAGGAAAGACAAACCATCATTCAATGACAAGGATGAAAAATAAAACAGCTAAGGCAAGCCAAGTTTAGGTAAGCCCCAGTCTTAGCCAAACTTTAGACTCCGTCAGAATTCCCTAGCCCAAGCCCATTTTAAAAAAAAGAAATTCCCCATTCCAAATCAGGGCGCAGTGATTATTAAAAACAAAAACACGAACTCTATAACAATTATAAACAAAACACCTTCATTAGATTCCTTATGAATGTGGCCATGACCAAACTTCAGCGTTTCAGAGATGTAACACAAGGATGAAAATTTTGTTCTGTTTCCACATAAACAACCAAGACATTTCGGTTCCCGATCTGTTTCTTTCCTATGTTTATAGGTGTTTCAAAATGTTTCGAAGTGTTTTGAGATGTTTTAAGTGTTTTGGCCAATCTTTCTATATGTTTCGGTAACAAATATTCACATCGTTTCTCTGTTTCCATTTTCTTTCAAAATCACTAGCGAATCTTTTCCATTTCCGAACTAAAAGAAACTATTCACCGAAACAAAATTTTGATATTTGGTAGCACAAGTATAAAGATGATGCAGCAAAGTAGGGACTAGCCTCCTTGACTATTCACCAAAGATGAGGTAGAATTACACACATATAGGCAGCCTATTATCCATGTTTGCATGGGCATATTGTCACAAAATATAAAGAATCTTATGATGGCAATTCAGTATGATAAGGTCACAATTGAAAGTAAAAACTGGTGCATGATACTAACCAGATGGGCCTTAATTTCCTCTTGTAAATTTTCCATGTCAGATCTGAGTTGGTTGACAACAGTTCCCTGGAGAAGCAAGAAATAAATTAATTAGCACTTATATAGTCCCGGCAAACGAAATGTAGATGTGTTCAAAACTTTAAAAAAGTGTTTCTGTCAAAAATATGAACAGTACACCTATAGACATGGGAGATGGAACCAGCCAAAAAAATAGAATAATAAGACACAAAAATGCCAGACATATTATTGAGCTTTGAAGCTATTTTCCAAACTTCATCAACAGACCCCCGCCAACTTTTACCAGATTCGAATAAAGCTTAACCAATTTTGGATTTCCAAAACAGATCCAATACAAGCATTAAAAACATTCAAGCATTAAAAACATCCTTTTAGCATTTTTAAGATGTTCAACGACTGGAATGGACCACTTTCGGCTCTTGTGAGGACTTGGAAGATGCGCTCTAGATCTATACCTTCAACATAAAATGAGTGCAAGTGCAAGAAAGTACACCCAAAAAAAAAAATTGAGGCATATCATATGTAATGAATACAAGCCGGAAAACCATCGATTGTTTAGACAAACCAAATTTATTTTTCCTAATAAATCAAGAACCATGTTAAAGTATAGAAAAAAGCCCATTTCCAAGTATAGCAAACCTTCAATTAATCAAGTAGATCGCATACAATAACAAAAAACAAGTTTTCAATTTATAAATCTGAAATTGACGCTGGAAACATATACTACATCCAAATTAGGCATATATCGATCTATACATCTAATATTCGCTCAAGAAACATACATCACATTCTGTTTCCGGGCAAACCCAAACAAAATTTTTGATCCTTTTGTGTATCAACAACCAACACCAGATTCTCAATTTCTTTTATCGCATTTGCAAAATTAAAATATTTACTGAAGATATGTTCCAACTTCGTTGCTGATCTAAATACATGGCTACAAATTGGTAATTCCCAAACTATAAACTACATAGTTGTCATTGCACTACTATAAATACAGAAGATAGGCAATATATATTTGTGTAGATCAACCATTGACATATATATGGAAGCAAATGCAGCCAATTGTGTGAGACACCACTTATGACATAATGAACAGACTCCAGTTAGATCAGAGCTGCAAATACATAAATTTCATAGGGGACCTAACCTGTTGGTTATAACTATTTGTCAGAGCTGAATTTTCAGCAGCTAAGGACTCTGCTAAAGCTCGGGATGCCTCAAGAGCTCGTTGCAAAGAGAACTTTTCTTGTGTCAAATCTTCAATATGCTGCTCAATTAAAAAAAGTAAGAAATAAGATAGAAAAACATATAATAATATATAATTGTGTTTCATCGCCACCAATAAAGTCCACCAAACNGGGGGAAAAAAAAGTAAGAAATAAGATAGAAAAACATATAATAATATATAATTGTGTTTCATCGCCACCAATAAAGTCCACCAAACCACTCTCTACTGGCCACCAATCCTATAACCTTTTGACACCAGGCAGGGAGAAGTCTAATCTGACCCATCATAGAACATGCAGCACCTGAATAGCAGACAGCTAAAGTAAACATCTAACATGACAATGCAACTAAGCTTCTACCAGGTGCAGAAGGGCGAGCCAGAAATATTTGTCTGGGTGGCACTTCTGTTACATATTCATTTTTTTTCTTCTAAGTTCTAACCAATAAAAATAAAATCATGCATTTATATTTATTATATCGTATATGATATATTAAGTCCGCCAAACATAAATAAAAGGCCAAAAAACCGATGTGTATATACAAAAAAGGACTAATTATCACCGTTATAAAAAAATGTGGCTACTTGACGTGTTGTAATAAAGAAGTTATTAGCCATCCATTGACCATCCCTTTACGCAATCGATTTTCTTAAACTTTCTTCCAAACATCATCATTGAGATATTAGAATAACAAAGCTACTAAACTAAAATGTAAGCACTAAATAAAGTAAAAAATTTGAAAATCAATTGAAACATAATAAACAATATGATCAACAGTCGAATAGAAAAAAGATGAGCTCTCATGGAAAAATAAAAGTCAATTGAAGATGAATTGCAATCGCTTTTACTTTCAAATTCAGAAGATATAATCAAAAATTGATAAATACGAATATTGAGGTCAAATGCAAAAAGCCTTAACACAATAAAAAAAGACAAAACAATTGAACCAAGAAATTAATAGAATGGGTATAAATAAAATATATTTGTATAATATTTAGAGTATATGAATATATAAACATATCTATAAATTTTTCAAAAAAATTTGAGGGTGGGCCCTTGTCCCTACTTAGCTCCACCGTTGGGTGCAGACCTACCAATCGATAAAGAATGCTTAACAGCCTGCATGCCCTCATTTTGATGGTAGCAAAGAAATCCTAGCCCCCCCCCCCCCCTTCTCCTCATTATATGGGTTTCATCCAATAAATAAATGATAAAGAAAAAATAATGTGTCGAATACCACACAGGCCACAGCACAGCCCTTCAATATGATGACAAACAGAGGCCTTAGCGGCAGAATTATCTCCAGGGGCATTCACTCCGACGGATGCATTTTATTGTAAATCAACTAACAAGACCACCAATACAAGGCAGCATAATAAAGTGCAGTGTTGAAAACATAAGAACCTGTTCCAACGCAGCAAAGTCATCATCCTGTTTTCGTGGATAAAATTCATGTTTCCTCTCCATATTTTCAGTGACTCCATGCCTGAACCGGTCACCCCCAATCCCAGAGAGAACTGAAGAGTTCATGGAATTCTGAGAAGCAGGTGATGCCAGAATATCCATGGGATAAACTTTTGAACTAAATGAGTCAGCCTTCTCCAGTTCACTAGGTGGGGTGGATTCTGAAGAAACTCTTGCCACATTGATGGAATCAAGGAAAGATGGACGAGATCTCCTGGTGTTAGTTGCAGCTAAGGCTGGAGATGCTGATACATGATTAGATGAACCTCCGACATCGAAACTGAACCCCGTAGATCTAGATTCAGAGGGCATTAGTGGGCTGTTCGCACTGATCAAATGACCAACAGAGCTACTATGCTTCCACTCCCCAGTATCAGGAATTCGGGAATCACTAGACTCCAAAGCATCAGGTACACTTCGCTCAACTTCAGGATTAGGATCTGTGACGCCAGAGGTAAAGTGAACTGAATCGACAATAGACCAACAGAAATAGCACTGAGTTTCCCCGCAAGAGAATAAATCAAAAAAGTGAAAAACGCAAAAATAGTTGACGGAAGTCCCAAAAGTGGAGAGAGAGAGAGAGAGAGAGACAAAGTAACAAAATCATTACCTTCAGATGAGGATGTATGGCGATTAGCTGGCGGCTCAGGATAACCAGGCATGTTTTGTAGTAGGTTAATGCCAGAGCCCTCAGGGGAGACATTTGTAACCAGATTTGAAACTTTGTAATCTTTTAAATGGCTATGACCATTACTTGGCAGACTTTCGTCCAACCCATAATAACCATATTGACTGGAATTGCTATCACCATCCTGGACTGATGGTGGATGAAGGGACGCACCTTTTGCAGTTGCAATTCCATCTGCAAGTCCTCCTGATGTTCTACTATAAATGCCAAGGTCATAATTCCTTTCTTTATCCTGGTCAGCATAATTTATTGGTCCAGAAGACCCTGAAACATCATAGTGCCTAAAGTCTTTGTCCTTTGCGTGAGTCTGCGTTGGATCTGCAAAGTATATATAATGATTGTTTGCATAAATTAGAGGACTAGCATCTTTTTCATGAGAAGAGCCTAGTTCATCTTTCTGTACAAACTCTGTTGATCTGACTTCATTGTTTATAGTTACACCAGAGGATTCAATACCAGCTATGCCAACTACATCAGATGTACCAGCTCCATCTGAATCTGCTAGTCGTACGCGTTCAGCTTCTGAAGGTTGCTTCTCAAGTACGCCTAAATCAGTAGTATGGAGTTGACTACTGGGTGCAGCCTTTTTGGCCTTCTCTGCTGCTTTCTTCTTACGGAACTCCTCCAGCTGTAAGAGGAAAGGAAAGTAAGCTGCACTAAATTTTCTTTTTAAATAAAAACAATCTCGTCATCTTAGTTTCCATTTAGCCAAAAGAAAAGCACTAAATCAAAAGAATGACCGTAACAAAGAGTCTGTTAAAGCGATAAGCTGAAAAAGAGTTCATATATCTAAAAAACACTTGAGTAGCACATACATGCTTACACACATCAAACAATTGTGTGTTGCCTGATAGGCCATAAGGGGTAAGGTGGATAGCGAAATGATCATGAACTAAGACAAAAGACATCCCAGCATCTAAGTACAACAAACTAATAATAGCCCCAAAAACAAAGGGATGTAGGGATGACCCAACCACACCCAATGCAGGCCCCCCACCTACCCAGGAAAAAGATTTGGCTCACCATTTCCTGACCAGTTTTATTAAGCAACCTGAGAAATGTAAGCAAAGAAACATCCACACCAGCAGACACATTGTAAGTTTGCGTAATCAACTGGTCATAAACCTTTGTTCAAACAAAAAAACTGGTCATAAACCAAGAACACTTTTGCTTCTGCGCCCAACGTATTATAGCTCAACCACTGAAAAGTCTCCCTTCCCAAGATGGCTCACATCCTCGCACTTCTTTCCAAAAACTGCTAGCATTTCTCTCCAACCAAAAGTCTCCCATGGCCATAACAGGAGTGCACACAAAGACCTTCCGACTTTGACTTTTATCTTTCCACCAGCCCCACAAACTCTTGACAAGAAGAACACCCAAACCATATCATTAATAAGTAAATATGGTTAGTAGGGGAAACACAACTCAAACCAATTGCGGCAAAGGAGTCTTTACCATAGCCATAAGAACCTTGTTTAATATTAGAAGTCAATTACGTCATGTCCTGCCTCTAATTCTCAAGAAAGTTACTAGAATTTAGAATTCAACATAGCACCGTTAGAATTTTATTGATACCCCAAACGGTATTATCACTAGAGGGGTTCATTGCCTAATGTAGTGGTATAAAAGTATCGAGCAAGCAAATGGCATTGTGTGTTCGAATACAAAAGCAGCCACTTTAAGCAAACAATGCTATATGTTCAGCCCACCCTCCCATCACTCTCAAGAATAAAGTAACATCAATAAGGAAAAGTCAAATTCCCTTCTAGAACCGAGTTTACGTATACAAGGAAATAAGATAAGTTAGAAAAAAGAGCCGCCTCAAGTAACAATTGAACAGCATTATTACATGCAGTACTCCTAATAAATTTAAAAATACCACGCCTGATCTTTAGAAGCATCAAATAGCCATTGGGTTGAAAACTTTTTACGTTGCAAAAACATAAAATCAAAAAACAACACAAAACTCCTTGCTCTGGAAAAATTGTATCAAATCATTCTATCTATCCTTGTGTCAGAAAACCTTATCCCCAAAACAGGTGATAAGTATTCAAATGCTCTCTTAAAATAAAATTTCAAAAGATGTAAGCCAAGCTAAACTTCCCCTAAAAAAATTACAGTTTCACCTTCAAGGTACAATATATGTTGTACCTAAAAAAATTCCATAAGCAGAACGTTTATCAGGACTTGACTTTTGTGGGCTGGAAACCAAATGGGACTGGGAAATGGGAAAAACTACAAAAAAAATTCTAATAATTGTTGGAGAGCAATCTTCGACTCTGTATTCATTCTTCAACCTTCATTTTGCATTTATTACTAATCCCATTTTCAATCTTAAACTTTTCTTCTCCGTGGTCTAAGCAGCATAGCATTAAACAACATCCGCCAATATTGAAATCGGCTAAAACAACCACTTATGACTAGTGAAATTGAGTATACTCTTCCCAAATCCCAATTGTTCAACAGTATGAACATGTGTGGATATAAACAGCAATGCTACTTGGACCTAATTTACTGTCCTAATTGGTGGACCTAATCATTCACAACCCCTGTATTGACACTGGGTCCTAGTATTTATTGGGTCACACAACTAATGGAAGGGTTGTGATGGATTTGGTGCGCAAATTAAGTTCAAATAGTATTATTGGGGTATAAAATAATTAAGCAACTAAATCAGCCAAAAATTATGCCAATTCTGCATCCCAAACAAGTAACAATTCTCATCCATTGTACAAGGCTTGGTTTGGTTTAGTTCAATTTGGTTTTCAAATCTTGAGATAAAATTATCACACGTTGCGTTCCAATTGTCAATAAAATGAGGAAATTGGGATGATCCAAACAACCCATTTCACCATTTACCAAAAATTAAATTAAAAAAATGTAAAAATGCACAATAAATCGATCCAATAAAAGTGTAGAATCATACCCGTCGTTTTCCAGCTTCCAGATGCTCTTGCTTCCTTGAATTTGGTAACACCTGAGCCGACGCCATTCAAGACCCACCAATCACCACCTCAAATCTCCCCCAAAACCATCGAAAAATATCCTTAATTTCTACGACCTAACCTAAAAATGCACAAAACCCTAGAAACAAACCCTTAATATTTCAATACAGCACAGATCAAGAGATACACACATATATCCCAAACAGAATCAAAAATTAATTCAATTAAAAATCAACAGTCGGGCTTTAACGGGCAAAATTTTTGAATTCCTTGGAAAAACTCGATAACAGGAACCCCAATTGCAGACAAAAGTGTCCGATCCGATCGGAGAGGAGAGCTCGCAATTTGATTTTGTCGTTCCAGCAGATCTCCTGATCTCTCTCTCTCTCATGTAATTTTCAAAATTTATGTGACCCGTGATGGTATTTTTTATGGGTGTTAATATTACCTACCGTTACATTGTTCTGACGTATGGAGGGTTCCTTGTGTGACACGTGTTAATCATGTAGATGGTAGGCTAAGAAATTTGCTCTTTTTTTTTTTCCAATACGAAGATTTTTTTTTTAATACGAAACGGGAAAGATTATACTAGTTTATCTTGTTAGAGGAGGGGATCCAAGAACTCAGGACAGTTCCTCCTCCGACTAATAAAATCAGTACATTGCAAAGCATGTTCAACTAAGAAATCAGCAACATCTCACAAGGAATTCTGACAATTTAAAAACATGAAGCTAGAACTGCGTTACAAATGTGTCAATATCAATAACATTAGGTCACCTCAATAGTGAAAAATTATGTTTGATAGATATTTTTCATTGAAACATGATATGTGATTTTTTTTTTTTTTTANTACAAGAACTCAGGACAGTTCCTCCTCCGACTAATAAAATCAGTACATTGCAAAGCATGTTCAACTAAGAAATCAGCAACATTGTTGCTAGAGACGTGTCCATCTCACAAGAAATTCTGACAATTTAAAAACATCAAGTTAGAACTGCTTTACAAATGTGTCAATATCAGTAATATTAGGTCACCTCAATAGTGAAAAATTATGTTTGATAGGTATTCTTCATTGAAACGTGATATGTGATTTTTTTTTTATTTTAATATTTTTATGACTAAAGATCACATATAAATTAAATTTAGATTTAACACTAAATTTACTTTTTAATATAATACAAAAATATTGTCTCTCCGTATTATATATATCTACTAGTAATTATTTATGCCTAAAGGCACAGGTTAACAAAAAATTGAATTAAAACTCAAAGAATGTTACATTGCCTAAAGCCAGTTTGCAACTTAAAACAAAAGAAAACAAAGCATTAATCCTAGACACATTAGGCTTAACTTACATCTTGGAGTCACAGTGCAATACAAAAAGAAAAAAAGCATTGATCGTGGACACGTTAAACTCAACTGAATTCTCAAATACTTAAATTACATCCTCAGTATACCTGCATGAATGCCCNATTAACAAAAAATTGAATTAAAACTCAAAGAATGTTACATTGCATAAAGCCAGTTTGCAACTTAAAACAAAAGAAAACAAAGCATTAATCCTAGACACATTAGGCTTAACTTACATCCTGGAGTCACTGTGCAATACAAAAGAAAAAAAGTATTGATCGTGGACACGTTAGGCTCAACTGAATTCTCAAATACTTAAATTACATCCTCAGTATACCTGCATGAATGCCCAACAAAGCATTACCTACATATTAATAGTTTTATGAACAAATCTTCTATGAACATAATTAATATTGAATATGGACCTGAGAACTATGCTCATTCACCAAGTTTTAGCTGCTCAACTGGTTAGAACTGAACGAAAGTGACAAAGTGTCAGCAATAATCCGTCTGTAACAGCCCAAGTGTTCTCAACATTGATGGTATGGATCAATCGAATGAAAACTGTCTCGAGTAAGTGAAAAGAAGCTTATCCTACGACATTTTCTAGATCATAATCCATATGTAACAACATTAATACAAAAAAATCCAAATAAATATGCAATAAACAAATTAATAAGAAATTTTTAGAGATAATAAATAATCAACTTATATTGCCAAAAACAGTGACGCCATCCATTTTTATGTGGTTGCGGGGTTGTAACGGTGGTGGCTATACGGTAAATTTCATAAAGAAAATATAATTAATACCAATTTCAATAAAATTTCATTTATTATTAAAAAAGTTAACTAAAATTAACCTACAAATTTTATAAAATAAACAGTGAATAATCAACAACTCAACATCCCAAGTCATGCGAGTAACAACACCCTAACAGTGAAATTCAGGACGTGACAACACTAATGTATTGACATTCACCTGTAAATAAAGAAAACGAAACACATGAAATCTTCTATGAACATAATTAATATTGAATATGGACCTGAGAATTATGCTCATTCACCAAGTTTTAGCAACTCAACTGGTTAGAACTGAACAAAAGCGACAAAGAGTTGGCAATAAAATAGAAATCGAAAAAGAGAAAACATACTATAGATTCTATAGCCATGAGCGGTCTTTTTTTTTTTTGTTTTTTGCCTATGGCTCATGCCAATTTTTTGAGAGCACTAAGCAAATCAATAAAATTGTTTCTCTATGTGTGTGTGTGTGGACGAAGAGAGGGGAGGATGCAACTATCAACCACACAATCATTATATACAAACCTACTTACTAATAACCAAATCCCTACAAAGTTCGAACTGCAAACTCATAAAATTCATATAAGATTGAAGCTTGAAACTATTTAAACCTAATTAGAACGCACGGCAACACCCAAAAAAGTTTACTCAAAAGTCATCCAAATGGACCTATAAACATACACCATTAGAAGAAAAAAATTCTCACCCATCACCATACCTATGACTAAGTATTGAATGACAAAATAACACACACAAATCACCTTTCTTGGTAGTTGAGAGGCCAATATAAAAATTGAGCTTCTCAAAAAATCGAGCCCACTATATCAAATCATCTTAACAAAGTAAATCACCTTTTTATAGTGGAAAAAATGACACATACAAATCACCTTTCTTGTTATAACTACCTTTTTTGGTAGTCGTAAGATTAACGGTACCTAAACATCATAAACACATCAAAGTAGTTGAGAGGCCAACAATGAAGGCAAAGTCTAACAAACTCAAAGTATGAAGAATAAATTAAATGGAAATACGATGATTAAAGGAGTTGATGGACATAGATAGACTTTGTACATTATTTAACACAACAAAAGGAATTGACATAAAAAAAAAAAAAAAAGCTCACTACTAAGAAAGGGCACTTGCCATCATTTTCTAAGAAATGAGATTTCTTTAAAGCCTGGCAAAGTTAGTCAAGCAAAAGTTTTTCACCCACTCATCCACTATAAAGACCAACATATACCTCAAGAAATAAGGATCATGGTAGACATAAAAAATTATTGGGTCAAGCATATTTGAGTCCAATCTTTAATTGAAGCTATTCTTTGTATTGATTATTTTATATAGCTAATTATACCTTTAGAAGAAGACTTATCCCAAACTTTCGGCAACTTTAAATATGGAGACCTAAAAACGATATATGCAACTAATTTATAACCTTATCCACCACACACTAAGGTTTGAAATTTCACAAACCCACATCATTCCACATCAAAACCAATTAGTTGATAACAACATCATAAGGTTAAAAATCATGCATCAAAACCAAGGAAGTTTAATTGGCAACCATAACAACAATTTTAATTTAAACCATGATGTCATGGAAAACCCCAATTTGAGAACCCTATCATTTAATTTCTAACAAAACTTAACAACCAAATTCCTACAAATCACCCAAATTAAACAGCCAATTCATAGAAATTGTTGTATGTTTGTTGTGTGTGTGTGAAAGAGAGGTGAGAGTCGTGAGACAGAGAGAGCGATTGGGGAGAGAGGGGGAGAAGGGGAGATGAAGGTACCTGGGTTGAGCTATTGTCGTCGGATGTTGGTTGATCGCCACTAGCCAGGGTAGAGGAATGAGAGGTGAGCATTCTTCTAGGAGAGATAGAGAACATGTCTAAGTTGATCTTCTAGAATTTTGTACCATTAACTCAAAATAAATAAAAATTAAACTAATTTTAATTGTTAGTATAATTTTATAAATTAAGAATGTAACTTATTAATTGCAAAAAAAATAGATAAGAACTATAAATTAGATGTAGAAATATTCGGTGCAATTCCAAAGATATAATAATGCACGCATACGCAACATCATAGCTGATCTTATCAAGTGTCAACCAACAAATTCATTGCATAGATATACGGCAATACACTTTCCCTTCTATTATATCCCTGCTATTCTTGCTAGAATTACTTGTCGGTAACTCCAATCTGAACGACATAAAGAGAACTACACATTAAATGAAACCACAACAATTTTTACAACTAATGCTAGATCGANTGATATAATAATGCACGCATACAGCAACATCATAGCTGATCTTATCAAGTGTCAACCAACAAATTCATTGCATAGATATACGGCAATGCACTTTCCCTTCTATTATATCCCTGCTATTCTTGCTAGTATTACTTGTCGGTAACTCCGATCTGAACGACATAAAGAGAACTACACATTAAATGAAACCACAACAATTTTTACAACTAATGCTAGATCGAATTCAAATCCCGAACGAATGGCGAAATTAAGGGTTTGTTTGGTTTGCGATTTAAAAAATAGTATTCGAAAACAGTTTTTGAGAAAAGTCTTAAGAAAGTGGTTTTGATATTTTTTGAGATAAAAAACTTGTTTTGTTAGATGATTTCAAAAATAATTTTACAATACAGAAAATAGTAAAACCTGTTTGGACAGCCTAAATATATATTTGAACAATAATTCAAACATTAATAAAAAAATATAAAAAAGTTATATTTAGATTGACAATTTCATAAAAAAAAAATCAATAAACCAAACTTTAAAATATATATATATACCCATATATATATGTATATATGTTTTTATATATACATGTATAAATACATGTATATATATTTATATATAAATAAATATACATATATTTATAGGTATTTATATATATAAATATATATAATATATTTATAGGTATTTATATATA